GTTACTATCACGGCTGCGAGAGGCTATGGAAGCAGAAGGCATCGACGCGGACAAATACGACTTCCAGGGTAAACTTGACGATGCATTCGCAAAGGATGAACAGAAGGATGAGGCCGCTTGTTCGTCGAAGGATGTGCAGCAGACATCCGGGAAGGTTGAAGAACAGCAAAAGTCTCCAAGTTCATCAACATCTATGGACATGAACACGTTATTGGCTGCCATGTCACAGATGTCATCACAGCTGTCGTCACAGATGCAAGCACAGGATACACGTATGTCAAAGATGTCCTCACAGATTTCATCCCAGCTGCAAGTGCAGGAAACACGCATATCATCGCAGCTAGATGAAAAGATTACTCAGCTACAAGAGAATTTATTCAAAAATAACGCGGAACTGAGAGAGAGACAGGATAAAATCGAGGAACGACAAGATAAAATTGAAGCGCTTATTAGGGAAAAACAGGAGAAAGTCGAAGCTAAGGTGGATGAGCTTGAAGATCGTTTCCGGGGTTTGCAGTTGAATCGTCCAGCTACTTCGACGAACGCTCCCAAGGTAAAAACCCCATCCTTTGACGGCACGATTCCTTTCCAAGTCTTTAAGCTCCAGTTTGAGAAGACAGCTACAGCAAATCACTGGAGCATGGAGGATAAATCCGCTGCACTGTTCGTTGCATTAAAAGGACCTGCAGCGGAAATCTTGCAGACTATTCCTGATTGTGAAAGGAACAGTTACGATGCGTTAATGGGTGCAGTGGAAAGACGTTATGGTAGCGAGCACAGGAGACAGATTTACCAGATGGAGCTGGAGAATCGCTGCCAGAAATCCAACGAGACTTTACAGGAATTCGCCTCTGAGATTGAAAGGCTGGCTCATTTGGCAATTGGAGACGCATCTGGTGAGCACCTTGAAAGAGTAAAAATCCAGAGGTTCATCAACGGAATGCGGGACATGTATACCAAGCGAGAGACGTACGCGAATCCAAAGGCAACATTTGCTGAAACCGTCTCGTATGCTCAGACGCGTGAAACGGCGGCGCTCCTAAGCAGACCAGCCTACAGAGCACATCGCGTGGAAGTGGAAACACCGGACGAGACAAATGAAATGCTGAAGAAGATTATCCAACTGCTGGGCGAGAAAAAGCATGGCTCTGGCAAATGTTTTAAATGTGGAAAGCCAGGCCACTTCGCCCGCGATTGCAGCGCAAGTTCCAGTGGGCTCAACAATTCAGCAGGACGCAAACGCAGGGCTGAAGGAGACGAAGCCAACTCCAATCAGTCGTTAAACTGAAACGAGCCAGCAGGAAGGGCCGCGTGCTGGCTCCAGAAGTTGAAGGGCCCATAATCTCCGTCTCACAAATTGGCCGGAATGCGAGCAACCTCACTATTGTTGGATGTGTGAATGGGCAGGAAAGAGTACTGACAGTGGATACTGGAGCGACACATTCCATTATTCGACCGGATTTGGCCACTTTTTATGTGAAGCCACTACCGGCTTCCTCATGATCAGGTTCCTCATGACTTTTAGGTTTCGCTGTCGTTGAGTTTCACGGATAACGAATTTCCGCCGAGTAGGAAGCCTCCTTGGTTACCAGCAAAGCCCATAAGAAACGCACAACATATATTTAGTTCGCAATTAGAATTCGAGGAAATGGTGGATAATTTCGGCAAGTCCCTATAGTATTTCCGCCCATATCAATTATTTATTTATTTTCCTTACAACAGTGACAAAACCTAGTTCCATCAACAAACCTACGCCTGTTAGGTCAGCTGCTTCCGTAGATAACGCCAATTTTACCAGGTGATACCGAAATAAAGCAAGAGGATGTACCTCGAATCCAACCTCAACCATCAGTTGCTAGCCATGAACCAAAAAGACAAGATCACGCGGGCAGGAGACTAGCCCGTTAGAATCGCATTTAGGAAGAAAGTTGAACGATTTTGACATTAGCCGTTTATTTACATTTCTTCGTTGTTTACAATTTGATGGTGGCTTTTTACTGCAATTTTCTTCATTACCGCTTGTGACAACGTGTGTACACATAAGATAAAGAATAATTTAACACAACGGCACGATTTATAGAAGAATTTGCATAATAAAAATGATTTTTCATGCGTTCAACAATTTCGCGGTTTTCTCCGTTCTCTTCGCTGTTTACTTCTTACAACAAAGATGGCGTCGAGATTTCGGCAGCTAGAAAATAACTTTTTTCGTTCTTTCCTTCCCGCGTGATCTTGTGTCTTTCGTTCATGGTTGCTAGCTGCGTTGATGCTGATAGAAATCTGGATCAATTTGTGATCAATTCTGTTTGTTTTCTTTCCTAATTAATTGAGGAAATTTTAATTGACAGCAGCGACAAATGAATATATACATAAACAAATGGTCGGTCATGGTTAAAACAATTAAAATTTTTGTATTGAAGTTTTGGTTTAAAATTTATTTTTTCCTTTTCAGTAGGGTTTTTGCACATTATCTTCTGCGTGAGAATTGATCGTAATAGATACGTATCTGAATAAGCGACTGGAACACGGCTGTTTGTCAAAAGCATACGATTTCGAACTCGTGTAAATGTACATTTGCTAAATGCGATAGCATGAACGCTCTTCGAAAACATATGTTCGAAAGTGCTAAATGTTGAATTTTAAATGCAGCAAAAAAGCTGCATTACGTTCTTTGTCTAAACTCGCTATTGCCATTCATTCAACGCCCCCTGTAGTTAGTAACCGATTGGAATTTTTACATCTTTCCCACTCTGTGTAAACAGCTGATTAATCGCAAATTTGTATTGTTCAACAATTTTTACCTTTTCGCATGTAGTTGGGATTTTTGATTGTTTTGATCTTATTTACGTCTTATAGGCTTGCACCGTGTTACAACAATAAACAGTAATCATAAAATACAAAATTAGTGTAATAAGACCGAAGTAAAAGTGTTGGAACTAGTTAGTACCTGGACAGCTACCATGATCCATCTAACAGGGCACAATTATAATGCCCGTGAGATCATACAAAATATATTTTCTCCGCTGGTGGGGGTGACATGCAGCCCACTAGCCAACGATGTTTGTGCACGAAACCACTTGTCTTTTGTGGAAATGTTACAGCCATTCTCTAAATTGCTGAATGATGGTAAGTATGCATTGCTTCTCACTACCAGTTCCTTTATTATACGCATAGAATATTGCCGTTCATTCAATTCGTAGCGCATTTTCGTGACGTGTCAGAAACGAGTGTTTCCATTAAGGGTCTACGCTTAAACTTTTGCGATATTGATTGGCGTCCGCCACAGATGGTGCTGGCGCGCAAAATGCTAAACGAGGCAGTGACAAATGCCCATAATGAGAAAACTAAATATGTGACCATAGGTGAGCTAAAAGTACATAAATAAACAACTATTAAAAAATTGGTTGCTTTTTATCTCGTCTTTAGGAAACATGGATTTACAGCTGCCCACTTCTGAGCCTTGGTTCGAGCAATGGCGTGAAACATTTCTCACCGTGCAGTTCCCCGCTGATCATGAGTTTACGCGCCATTTTATAAGTTGCCTTATCGTCTTGAGCAGTAGCGATCCGAACATTGTAGAAAGCGCACAAAAGCTTACGCAACGCGTACATCAAATGCAAAGCGTAACACCACAAAAATTGCCAAAGTGGTTTCACTCCACTAATGTGCTCAATAGTTACGTTGTACTGCATGAGGGTTCACAAGGCGATATATCCAAGTCCGATGATGATATATATTGTTATAATTGGTATGTTCATTAAAATTTATTTTAATTTTAGAGCGCAACAAGGTTACGAGCTGCTTAAGTCTACATTCGGTAATAGTAAATGCTTCTTGGTGCAGATTAATTCACTAGATGCCACTGTATCCGGAGAAGTGTCTGACTATTGGGTGCCATACATCAAACGACAGCCGAAAAATGTATAGTATTAAGCGTAAATTCTTAAATACTCTGATGAACTTACCTCGTGTATTTTTCAAAATTCATTACCCAATTAGGAGCTTCAGGTAGAGCAGCTAAGTGGTCCAAAAACACCACAGGATGCTATGTCCATGATTTCCATGCCGAACATACAAATGTCTATACTTAGTGATGCAATGGCCCCTACCGATAGTGTCACTGATGTAACCATTATACATCCCTTGAGTCCAGTGCAAGAAAATGCGACAGAAGCCATAGTAAATCAGTGAATAATAGTTTCTATATTTTTTTTTTCTAAAGTCGTATTTTTACAGAGCTCAAAGTTTTCAGTAAGCAGCGAGAGCATAGCTTCGCAAACCATAAATGCAAACGTATGGGCAAGTGAAACGGATGGCGATAACACAACGATTCATGGAGGTTGCATGAATTCCATGGATGTCGAGAATTTGCGTCATTTCGTGCAGGATTACACTGTACGTGCATTAATACCATACGCTGAACAATTGGTGGCCCTGCTTGTAGAAGCGGTAACAAATACTGGAAAATTTAAATTGTTTTTAAAAAGATTTTTAATTTATATATTCATAGATCACAAACAAAAAAGGTGTCAGTAAGTCTTTGCTTAGCGCCACTAAACGGTGGTTTGTTAGCAGCAAGCCTGGTTCGAATTCGGTCAATCAAAACGCTGTTATGTAAGTTTTATCCGTTTTTTTTTATAACCGAGCGCACTTGTACGCAAGGGTATTATAACTTTATTCACATAACGGTTGTTTGTAACAGGCAAAACGAATCGAGAAAGATATACATAAATGATCAGAATGAAAAGAGAAATCGATTAAGCGGTGACTGTCTGCCCGTCCGCCTGTGCACACGATAACTCGAGTATAAATTTACATATCTTAACGTAACTTGGTACGTTTACTTCTTTCGGGCGTAGGACAGGTGGTATTGAAACTGGGAAAAATCGGACAATAACCACGGTTACTTCCCATATAATGTTTTTTTTTTTTAGAAAACTGATATTTTAGTAACTTCTGAAGATTATTCACTTAAAATTGATATTTACAATAATTTTTAAACGAAAAATAAGAATATTATAAATTTTTGTAAAATGGGCGTAGCCACGCCAGAATTGATAAAAGCGAAAATTACGATACTCAAATTTTGCTTTGAAATAAGCGTACATCAAACTGGCTGGCACACTTTTTTATTATTTCACTATGTTGATAAGCTATGTGAAAAAATTTTGGGAATTACTGTTTAAAATCTGTCCAAATTTCCAAATGGTTTTAGAGTGTCAATATCATATCAACTAATATCATAATGTAGATGGTCTTTTGGCAATAAACGTTTCTACTAATAAAGTAGCAATTTTATTTTGAATGTTATTCTAATAGTCGTCGGCCGCTGTGGTGTAGTGGTAAGCAGTGCGCGCTTTCACACATCAGCACCTGGGTTCAAGCCCTGGTCAAAGCAACATCCCAAAAATATAGAAAAAGGTTTTTTCTTAACAGCGGTCGTCCCTCGGCAGGCAATGGCAAACCTCCGACTGTATTTCTGCCATGAAAAACAGCTTCTCATAAAAATACAATCGCCGTTCGGAGTCGGCGTAAAACTGTAGGTCCCTCCGCTTTGTGTGACAACATCAAGGCGCACGCCACAAGTCGGAGGAGAAGCTCGGCCAAACACTAACATATGTGTAAGCGCCAATCTATTATTATTATTATTATTATTATTATTCTAATAGTGCATAAATTGTGAAAAATTCACATTTAGATTAGTTACTAGAGCGAAGATTTTGGAGGCATACATCGATGTTTTTTTGCATCCCTATATTGAAATCGGACTTTAATGGCGGTCGCTTTTCATATAACAATAAATTTCAGATATGCTTGAAACTTCAATATTTCGAATTTTAAAGACGCTAATTTACTCAGAAGGTATATGACCATGAAAAGAAGTAGCATTATTATGGAATTTTGGAACTATTCTAACTTAACGTTCTATCAAATATTTTTAAAATAGGGTAATAAAGCCACCCCTGTTTACCATATAGCAGTAGTTTTCGGAAAGGTGAAAAACATATTTTCTACTTGCGCCGGGTATTTAATGCTCGGCTCTGCCCGAACTTAGACTTTCTTATTTGTTTTAAATATATTTATATATGTTTGCTTTTCACAGCTATACAAATGAATCATCGGAATTGCAAACCCGCAAACTTGGAGATCTTTATTTCATATTCGGGCATTACAATCTGGCTTTTCAGGTAATACAACATTTTCCCCCTACAAAACTAATTATAAATTCACTTGGGCTTTCATTTTCAGGCTTATCATCAAGCTAAACGCGATTTCAATGCCGACTCCGCTTGGCAGTATTATGCAGGAGCTTTGGAAATGGCTGCCGTCTCGGCATTTATGCTAGGCACTGCGAATCGTAAAACTTTTGATTACATGGAAGATGCCATTATGTGTTATTTAACCGTTTGCAAGTAATAATTTGTATACGTTTCTAATTCACCCGCTCTTATTATAATATAAAACACATTTCACCAAAGATTACAACAATTTGCGACGCGTGCCACCCTGCTCAGTATGGAATGTCTACGCACATCACGCATGTACGGTGAGGCCGCTAAGCAATTGATACGAATGACTAGTGAAGATGCCGATTTACGTTCAGCTTTGCTTTTAGAGCAAGCAGCTTATTGCTTTTTAGCATCGAATCCCTCAATGTATCGCAAGTATGCCTTCAACATTGTACTCTCGGGAAATCGTTATTCGCGTGCTGGTCAGCGAAAACATGCGCATCGCTGTTATCAGCAAGCCTTTCAAGTTTTCCAAAGCCGCGGTTGGAGTTTAGCTGAAGATCACATACAGTATACAATGGCTAAGCAGGCATGTGCATTGAAGCGCCTCGAAGAGGCGAGTCGTTCATATTCGCATCTGCTGCACCCAGGCAGTCAGCAGAGTGCGCAGCAGCAAGTAATTTTTCTCAAAGAGTACATTCAAATGCATACGGTAAGTAGAGATTGTCGAGCTTGCGTTGTAGTTTTTAAAAATGACAGATTTTTGTGGGTTTTGTAGGAACTCATTAAGCGCAATCCTGAATTGGGTCTACTATCATTAGCATTGCCACAGGTTACTCAAAATTCGATTCGTGTTTTACTTTCAACTCCAACGACTATGGGCAGTGGTCAGCAAGTGGCGGCCAGTGGTATTGATATAAAGGTTGGTCTAATGCAATAAAAGTTACTTATTTTACTAAATTATATATATTTTAGTCTAACTCCGCTGATGAATCAGTGTGGGGAAAAATGGAAGAAATGCTAGTGGCCACTGCGGATCCGAAGAAAGCTTTTGTATTCAAGCCAACACGTTTTCTATTTTCTAAAGAATGTCCGGCTATAGATAATCCGCTTGCAGTACAAGGCGGTAACATTATATAAATTCTTCTTGAAAGTACATTCAATATCAATATATATTTTTCAGAACCCATTGAAATCTCCGTGAACATTTTTAACACCGTCAAGTGTAGCATTACACTTAATGGCATCGATTTGCTCTGGAAACTGCAGCTAGACAATGGTGAAGTGCTCTCCAATGAGTCATTGTACAGCCACAATGAAGAGAGTTCAAGTAATTATTCAATAGCGGCATTCCTTTAAGCTGAAAAAAGCTCGAAAACTTCGATAGTTTTAAAAACTTTTGTGAACTATCGAAAATTGTATGAAAAATACTGGCGTGTTTTCCTTTTTTTAACCGCTAAAATCTTACATATTTCTATAAGAATTATTAACTTCAACACACTCTCCTTAGGCAAAGCAGCTGTTAGCGCCGCTATTAAAACTAGCTGTGTTCCGTCTGTCGTTTTGGATGAGCGTTGCGATCATACGATTTACTTTAAAATAACACCCAAGTTAACTGGCCTCTTAAACATAATCGGCGTGGTTGGTGAAGTTGTTCTTACATCGGAGCCTACTGCTTGCCTGCTTGGTATGTTGCAATTCGATACACCGCAAGTTAAGGTTAAGGGCAAGCAATCAACTCAAATGATAATAGATAACAAGCTTAGTATTAAAGTGACACCTTCAGTGCCAGCGATGTCTGTTAGCTTCTCGCAGCTACCCACAAATTTGGTTGCTGGCGAAATACTACCCGTAACGGTGACGCTGCGAAACTCTGGTATTGTGCCAATAGAAGATGTATACCTCTGCTGTGATCAGCCGCGCAGGCTGACGCTGATGGATGGGGATTTGGAAGTGCCACTTTCGATATTGAAAAGTAAGCTTTTAGTGACTTAAAATATTTACTTGTTCTAATAACTCTTGTTTTAGCTGTCAAAGATCTAACCAATGAGAAGCTATCAAAAGACCGCGAGATACGTCGACAACGCGTATTTCGTTTACTCAAGCACGAGAACTCGGTTAGTTTGAAGCCACAGGCGTGTGCTACAATACCAATGCATATACAAGCACCCTACGAGAAAGGCGAATTTACGTTGAGACTACTTTTTATTTATATATTGCCAGATGGCACAAGCGCTACTATCAAATATCGCCTAGTGCGTCATAATTGGAAGTTCCAAGTACATGAATGTTTGCACAGCGCAGTGACTTGCGTGATCAGTAACACACTCTCTGGTGAACTGGGTCTCGATGTGGCGATAAAGAATGAAAGCAATGCGAAAATTTTCACCAAAAGCGATATGTATATCAATTCGCTTGGTATTTACAGTGCCGATCACAACATAAATCGTAATAAACTCTACAGTAAGTCAATTTGGGAATATTTAATTGCAGCTGTATACAAATTAGTATAATTTTTTTTTACTTGTAGTCACCAATCAAATGGAAATTGCCACCGGCAGTGATGGAGGTACATTTACTTTTTATTATTTACAATTGAGGCCACTAATATCTCTCTTTTTATAGCACGCTATCTATCAATGGGCAAATCAATGAATTTCCAATGTCGTTTAGAACGCAACACCCACAATTTAGCGTCAGCGCCGTCTAAAATTCTATACGAGCGTGTTTCATTCGTAAGCGTCATCCCTTCGATAAATGCTGATAAGGCCCATGCCTACATTCCATCTGTACATGAAATGTATGGCTTTTTAGCAAAACATGAGACTTTATACTTCAATATCAGCATAAATACGGATGAGTTCAACAGTGCTGTAATCAATTCAGATCCACACACTACTGTTATATTAAATTGGGCAGCGCATGTAAAATTAGGCGGTGATAAGGAGGAAGCACAACGATTGGCTGCCGGTCAGCACTTCATACAATTACGAAACCTTTATGAAACTACCACCAGTTTGGGCGTGCAAGCCTCACATGCTTATGTGGAGATTATAGCGAAGCCGCAGCAAGTGCGCAGCATTGCTGAATTTGCATTGAACGACACAGATGCCCAGTCGTTTGCGGTATTCGCGGATGAACAACGTTGGATGGATGATGAGGATGATGACAACGTGGGTGATGATGATGATGTGTCATTTTGGGAAGTCAACACAGATTATGTGGGTAAACGATGTTTACTTTTGGATGAAAGTTTTCCGCTTGCTGTTAAAGGTTAAATATTATTCTTAGATATGTATGCCTTAGTTATAAAGTGAATAGCCTTAATTTTCCTTGACGCCGTTGTGCAATATATAATTAAATATTTAAATTATAAACAAATTTGTCCTATATTATTTATATATCACTTGAAACAATAATAAATACAAGAAACGCATTACGCTACTATTAAAGCACACACTAAAGACTAGAGATGCATGATGCATAAATATATTAATTTCTGAAAGCTTACTAACGCTAGTTGTGCCATACATGAAGAAAATTGGAGCACTTTTTCCAACTACACTCCCATCAGCGATACAAATTCAATTGCGCTACCAATTCGCGCTCATCAATTTCTTTCATATTTAATTCGGCCTCTTGTTTTTTCAACAACTCGAAAATTGCCGCAAGTTGCTCGCGTTCAATTCTATAATGCAATTATCATACATTTTTAATAAACACTATCTATTTTGATAATGTATGCACTCAAATTACCTGCGTTCTTCCTCCAATTGGTCGTGGGTTAATTGGGCCTCTAACTCTTTGAGACGCGCCGATTTCAATTTTCCCACCAGTCCATCACCCAAAGGGTTGTCCGTATCGAAATCTTCATCGTCACTGCCGTCATACAATCCCTCTGTTCGTTCCTCCATTGCACTTAAGCTATTTTGTTCTTCGATTTCTCGCTCTTCTTGAATGCTAGGCATCTATGTATGCATACCCTTTTTTTTACTACGAGAAAGATTTATGATGAAAGCATCATTATTTGTGGTACTTACCCCAATGTCCTTCACCAAATTAGAAAAATAGAACGCTAGTATTACGGCAGCTAGCATAGTGACAGTACTCAATAGAAAAACATTGTCGAATGAATCGAAAACTTCGCTGATGCCAAGGAGGGCATACATGTTGTTCTTTCCAAAAGGAGTTGCGAAAGTCAGGATTTTCGCCGGCAATTCTCTAGTATAGGGTACAACTGCTAAATAAGGTGCAAAAATGACGGGAGGGACAAAAAACTTTTGTTAAATTGTATGAGCAATTGCACCAGTATAAATGAAATGATTATGCACTACCCACTATTCACTCACTATTAAAATGTGTGCTTATTGTTTTATGCAGGCAATAGCAATTTTTCACTACTATATTTTATATTTTGTGTAATAAAAAAACGTAAACAAACATTTCGCCTCACAAAAATAGGCTTTGTTTCTTTTCTTTTCTAGCAGATAATTATCAGGAAGAAGAATGAGAAAACTGAAAGAATTAACGAAATAACGAAAAAGTAATAGGTGCGTTCGACAAGTCAAAAATTTGTAATAGTTTTCCAAATTTTTACTGGATGGCGTTCGATAACGACAAAAAATTATCCAACACACAACAATTGAGAGAGCAAGCGTTCATTTTGATGCCAGAGAAGCGTTCATTTTGTACTGGCAAAATTTTAGTAAGCAAAAATTATCCAACATGAAAACATATGATCACAAAACATATGGTTGCAATTTTTGTAAACAAACAAAATTGCATTTTCCGAGTTTTGGTATTTATATGCCGTTTGGCTGCCTGCTATGTGACTTTATGATAGCGCCAACTAGTTTTACTTCTAAAAATGTTTCTGGCGAACATTGAACGTTCACTTTCCTTTTTCCTTCTATGGAGACAACATGAATTTCAGTTTGTTTACAAATAAAACATAAACAAAGTCAGCTGGTGTGTCTTCTTCTTCCGGTTTTTGCACGTAATGGCTAATTTCCTGTTCGTTTACTTTTTTGCTTTTTCATCTCTTTGGGAGACAATTTTCGCTTACTCTCTTGATTTTTTGATTGTTGGCTGGTGCCAAGGCGTATTTAACAAGGTGGTGTTGGCCGTATATAAGTAAAAAATTACACTAACAAATTATACGCTGATGGCCATACTGTCATTGGTATGAGTTACAACAAACACATCATTTTGACGTAATGGCCTCCACGGCGAAAAACTCAGCTCGCCCCAACACCACCTTGTTTAATACACCTTGGCTGGTGCTGGCTAATTTTGTTATCGAACGCACTTAATATTTGGCGCGAATTTTTGTTTATCCAAATTTTAGGTCGGTGTTATGCAGAAATTTTGTTTGGCAAACTGCGTGCAATTGTTGTTGCAGCAAACTCGGAGAGAGCGAGTTTGGCGACTCTCACAGCAAACTAATTTTGTTTGGTCAAACTGCAGCAAATTCGGTGTTGTCATATACAAAAATTTTAAATTTTGCGCGTTATGTACATCTGAAATTCTCATTTCGTATTGGCAATAGCCATGAAAACCATAATGAACGTGCAACCCTGTGCCAAACTCGACATAACCACCTCCGAGCAAACTAAGCAGCCGCCATTTAATTTGGCAAACAAAAGTTTGTCTGCATAACACTGACCTTACTAGCAGAAACTAGCAGGAGAGCCAAAAAAAGAAGAGCGTAAGAACGAGAGAGAGCTGCTATTCTGCCTATTGTGTTGCCGCAGCCACAATACAAGGTGTTATCGGTTGGCAACTTCTCGCTCTAATTCCGCCATATTGACTGCCTTAGCTAAAACGGTGTTACTTCTTCAACAATTCTTTGCCTAATAATATAGATGATTTCTTTTTTTTTTTTTCTCAGTATACACATTTTGTTTTCTCAAAAAGGTATTATATCTTATCTTATTTAATTTCATTGCGAATATACTATAAAAAAGCTAATTTTGTTTAGAAGAAAATATGAAATCTTATATATTCCCCCAAATGGGCAGTCATTTTTTCCCGTTTTTCTTTTTATTCTACTGAGCTAAGGCAGTGTCAAATCGAGCTGTCACAACTGATACCACCTTGTATTATTGCATCATGACAAGAATGATAGATGATGTTCGCTGCACCGTGATGCATCAGCTGTAATATGTGAGTATCTGTCAAATTGTAAAATCATCGTAAAACGAAAACATTGGTTTTCTCTATAAATAACGCAAAAAATATATATTCTTTTTACTATCAAAAGTTAAAGAACCATAAAAAATGACAGCTATTGCTGGTGGTCACGGCGAGCCCAATCCCAATGCTAGTTGGCTGGGTGCGCGTGGTATGTGGTTGGCGTACACTTTGGGCGTGTTGGCAGTACATTTGATACTATTGTCAGTTCCATTCATAAGCATTCCAATGGCATGGACTATAACAAACTTGCTGCACAATGCCGTAAGTGTTCCAATAAGCATTTTAGAAGATAATGTTGAAAGCATTTTTATTTTTGCATTATAGGCGCATTTTTACTTCTTGCACATTATTAAGGGAGCTCCATGGTTAAGCATTGAAAATGACTGTGCGCGTCGGCTAACACATTGGGAGCAAATCGACGATGGTGAACAATTTACCACAACACGTAAATTCCTTACGGCGGTTCCCATTATTTTGTAAGTAACTAGCCTATGCAAAGTTAATAAAAATATGGTTGGATAAATTCTTAACTCCGGTTTCATAGATTCCTGCTCACCTGCATCTATACAAGGAATGATCCCGATCACTTTATTGCAAACTTCATTTCCCTTGTACTAGTAACTTTGCCCAAATTACCACAGTTCCATGGAGTGCGTCTCTTCAACATAAATAAATACTGAATTGTCAATTATAATGCCATTGGGAGCTTTGAGATGGTGGAAAATATTGTTTGTATGATCTTTTTATAGACTGAGTGGATATGATTGGTACATGGATTCAAATTAACTTTAGTGACAGGATATTTTATACGAGTTTGATATTACATCTTTACTGTATAGCAAGTACAGCAGCATATGAGTTGAGAGAAATGAGAGTGACATTAAAAATTAGAGTAAAGCATTCTTAAAATAAATAAGTTAATAGTAAAAACAAATATTTTTAAAGCAAGCTATCTAAATATAAACGAAATCGGACTATAAATATTGGTTTACCTAATATGTCGACTCGTTTGCCACCTATCGGCAAAATTTGTAGTGGAGTTATTCCTTTTAATGAAATTGATATAAGTTGTAAATACGAACCAAATCGGACTATAAATACGGGTTATTCAAATATCTCGACTCTTGCGCCACCTATCGGATTAATCCATCTGTCGTATTGCATCGTCATCGGGTTCTGAGTCAAGTTTAAAGCCCCAAGGTATTCGGGAAGCTGGTCAAAAATTAATTGTAAAATTTGCTCCTAACAAACATACATACATACAGAGCAAGCTAAATAAAAGCATCTATAATAAATAAAAATTAAACCCGAATGTATTATCTGTTATGCAAATGATGCAATGGTAAGAGAAATGAAGGGGTTATGGGTTGATCATAGGTTGCAACGCAATCTCATTTGGGTTGTCGGTGGGAAAGGCCACTGAAGTGAAAATATATGAATGACAACTATAGTAAAGTGCTATTAAGTTGAAGATAATAGAATTTTGAAGTACCAGTAAATAAGCTGAAGAAACTGTTGGATAAAGAAATAAGTTCTTAATAAAAATTCTGCGGCAACCACAAAAATTCAGCGTTCAGTTGTAATCGACCCATTAGCTGTTAAAAGTTTCGTTAAATTTCCACAGAGTGAGCCGAAATCGAATTTGATAGTAGTGCTACAGATATGTAACATTTTAAAATAATTAATTTATTGTGAAGTTCATAGATTTATTTAAAGCTACAAAACATAATCGGGATAAAGAATGAAATGCATAATAATATTTTTAAAGACTTCACAATGCCACAAAATTTAATTTAACATTTGAGTCACCCTGTTCATTTCTCCGATGGCACTCCAATGGGGTTGGTGGGGCTTAAACACAGCAAACGCCAGTTCACAAGCTACGTAGTCACAATTGTGTGCCAACATTGAAAAGTCGATTGCCAACGTGAAATTGTTGCTTGATTTAAAATATATTTTTCTGCCACATTAGCCACTTTATTGCACCTGTGCACAGTTTGTTGTGTTCTTTTGCAACAGTTAATTGAATTGTTCAACAAAGTTTTTCCTCGTAGCTAGTGGTTTGACAAATTCGATTACAAATTTGATCTCCGCTCGCGACAACAGAAGCTCGAGCAAAAGGAAAAATAATCAATTGTCTTTTTTTTGTGGGGTGCCTGCAAAGCAGTGAAAAAGTATTCAAACTGTTGAATTTGCCGCAATTATACTTGCAAACATCATCGTCATCATCTCATAGTGCCCGGAGTAGTAATATGCCTGTAAGTGATGTGTTAGTATTATGGCTCTTACAAATAAAATAACAACAGATTTTGTTTTAGGTTCACGAATTTAGAGTGGAAATGACTTGTTCAGGATGTTCCAACAGCGTGGAGCGTGTTTTAAACAAGTTGGGCGGTAAGTGGGGTTGGCGAGGGTGATAATGATGGCAACAGGCGCTATGTATAATAAGCTCCAAAGTGTTTCTCTTTTTATTACATATTCATAATATTAGATTCCTTGGCGATATCCTTTTTTTTTTTTGCACTTTGCGGTTTTGTGGCTGAGTTTATGCACTCATACTGCCAGGGTGATTACGATTTGAGAGATTCTTCCTCTTAATTGGTTACGTGTTGCCTCTTGCGTATTATTTGCAATTTTTTAACTGATGTGCTTTTCAGCGCCAGCCGCCACCTGGAGAGCAATATTTATTGCTTAAACGAAAGCCTCATTGAGGCGTTTTGATTATGATATTGGATTGTGTTGAATTGATTGATATACACATCCGCCGAGTTTATCGAGCTGGATGATCGGTTTCATAAAATTTTTCGATAATCTGCATGGTAGTTGAGTTGATGCTGTGTTTCTTGTTAGTTTTCTGGCTCAAAACCTGTTTGTTGCGATGAGATTGATTTCCTCTGGCGGTTGATTTTTAGCGAAAAGGCTGTGTGAGCGTTGACAGCTTTTGATCAACTTGAACTTGACGATATGGCTCTTTCGTTGTTTTGAACGGCCGTTTAAATTTGTTATTTTTTGTTTTGGTTATAGTGATTGTTTATGTTTAGTTATCATATTATAATGTTATATAGCATTTAAAAATGCTGTTTTTAGCACTGAAAAGTGCTCGACTACTTATTCTGTCTTCGTGTTGAGTTGGTTGTTTCTTGGTGAGTTGTTCTTTTTAACTTTAATTGTTTATATCATTTCTTTTTTTACACTTTTTTAGATGCTGATTTCAGCTTCCCTGATGAATTTACATAACTCTATAAGCGCTCTGGTGTCGCGTTTTTTGAGAATATGATGGAGGTTTTCAAATTCGTTAAAGATATCATATTTTTCCCTAATGGAGTTGTGTTTCCCACATTCAAAAATGGCATGGATGTAGTTGTCGGTTGCTTGGCAGTTCTGACAACGGTCAGATTCACTTGCCCCAATTTTATGTAAGTATACTCTGTCATAGGTGTGTCCCGTGAGTAGTCTGTTTATTGTCTTTATGTCTCTAGCTTCCATTTTGGACTTAATATACCACGGATCGCTTGTGATCTCTGGGAAGTATTCAGCAAACAGTTTTCCTTTCTCCTTTGCCGTTTGGCGGTACCTATCATTCCAATTTTTCCTTAGTTCCTCATTAATTTTTCTGATTGCTTCCTCAGGAGTTAGGCTCGCATTTAAAGGAGCGCCAACTTCTAAGGCTGTTTTTGCCATTTCATCCACAGTCTCATTAATTTGTATTCCCACATGGCTCGGAGTCCATGTTAGGACACAGTTTATTCCCCCCTCACTAAGGCGTTTGTGAATGCGGGCTACTATGTAGTTATTGGACTTTTCTTTCTCTATCCAATTGCATGCTACTAAACTGTCAGTGAAAATTGCAATGTTCTTCAACCCGTCCTCAAAAGCAATGTCCACTGCCTTGGCAATAGCCCATGCTTCTGCAAAGGCCGAGGAAGTTTTAAAGTTGATCTTGAAAAAAAATTTTTGATTATGTGTAACATTATATACTCCACATCCCATGGCTGTTTCGCCCCCTGAAGCATCAGTTGCAAAGATAGAAAATTTGTTGTTCTTGTAAAAGTCAATCTTTTGATTATATTCTGCCTTAAATTGTTCTTTGGTCGTATCTCTTTTCCTTAGCTCGGGTTTCGCCAATACTGTCATACCTACGCTTTTTTGGAAGGTGCAGTCTGTGTCGATTTTATCAAAAGTATTTTTGAATTCGTGATATATTAAGCTATAACTGGATTCTGGGTAGAAATCTTTTTTTACGCTGTTGAAGAGAGTCGGATTGTCAAACATTATCTTTACTAACTCCCTACTAGTTAGATATTTACCCCTCTCCAGAGGTTCAAGTTCATTTGCTAAAACATATATAGTGTGAACTGGAGTTGAAGGTGTAAGGCCTAGACATCTACGTAAGGTGGTATTCTGAAAAGTCATAATTTTCTTGTTTATTGTTTTCGGTATCCTTGCAGCCGTGGTTCTTGCAACTTCGACCTTGGACCTAATGAAGCTTTTATATAGGTTAACAGCCACTTTGGGTGTTATACCTGTTTTCACTGGAGTAAGACATTTCAAAAAATTTGCGTTTTTTTTTGTGTCATTCACTAACCTTTGGAAGTGCGGGCCTACCGTCAGCGACGAGTTTATAGTTCTACCAATGAATTTAATTTGTCTCACTTGTTCAATAGGGGTTTCATTTATTTTGATTTGTACATCTTGCCTATTACTTTTAGCAATGTACATTAGCTTAGTTTTTTGTACGTTGAACGACAGATTTAGTTTGGTACAAATATCATAAAATTGTTTGGCCTTCTGCTCAAGGTTTTGTCTTACTATGTCACAATTGCTCCCGTGCGATAGGATCAGAAAGTCATCTGCAAACTGATAGATGTCTGTCCCTGAGTCCCCAATACTGTGTAGTTCTTTTGTATATAAATTAAAGAGTAGCGGCGATAGACAACTGCCCTGTGGCAGGCCATCTTCTATTATTATGGACTCCTTGCCCAGGTGCAGAATTCTTTTGCCAAAGAAATCAATAATCCATTTTATATACGTATCTGGTATTTTAAGGTTCCCTAGCAGGCTCTGCAGCTTACCTAGGGTAACACAATTGTAGGCATTGTTTATGTCAAGCGTCAGAACTACTGCCTTTTTGCCTGCATGTTTTAAGCTGGCAACTTTGTGTAGAAAATCATTGATACACATTGCCGCAGACTTTCCTTTCCTATAAGCATACGATCTCTCTGGGTAAATATTTTTGTCGTTTAAAAAGCCTTCCAGTCTGCCTTTAATCATGAGGTTTATAGACTTAACTAGCACCGATATAAGTGAAATTGGACGGAAATTCTTATAGTCACTTAGGTCTTTGTTTACCTTAGGGATTGGGACGATTCTTACCTTACGCCAAGAGTCATTTATTTCACACTTGGTGAAGGCATCGTTTAGTGCAGTTAGTAAGTTTTTTGTCGCTGTTTCCGGCAAGGATCGAAGCATTTCATATGTGATCTGATCACACCCACCCGCGGACCTTTTAGTCTTATTTTTAAGTACCCCTTTGAGCTCGTTGTCCTCAAACATAGGAACTTTGTCTGCGCAAGCAACTTTCCGCTCTACTTTTTCTTTTGTATCGTCTTCATCACTCACCTGATTTTTTAGGTGTTGAAGGTACAAAGCGTCATTGGTATCGTCCCACGGTTGCTTAGACTCAGTGGATCCGGCACCTTTCATATTTTTGACAAATTTCCATGCTTCTCTAGTATTTGGGTGACTATTGAGGAGGTTTAGGTTCTTGTTGTAACTTTCTTTTTTGGCTTCTTCTACCGCATTTTTCCAATTTTCCTTGGCTTCAGTCGCAGCTCTTAAGTTTTGAGCAGTCGGGTATTTGTTGCACTTTTTTGTCGCGGCCAATTGCAGCCTAAAGAGCTTTTCCAACCCTTTGTGCCACCAGAACTTAGGGCGTCGAGAATCTTTGATCTCAAAGGTGGACGCTTTAATTCCATTAGTTAGAGTGTTTTCAATTTGTTTGATGTCTGTGTCAAGCTGGACAGTGCCTAGATCGCTAAGCAATTTTCTTTTGGCAAGGAACGTGGATTTTTTTGTTTCAATCTGGTCGAAGCTTATTACAATTGGGTAATGATGGCTGCCACCCAGTTGACAGGGGACCACCTCCCAGTTTGCAGATGATGTGATGTTCGTGAAGGTCAGATCCAAGACTGATCCCCTAGTAGCTTGCAGATCCGCTTTAAAGGTTATTGATCGATTGTTAAGACAGTAAAAGCTGGAGTTATTTATAAAGTTTTTAAGCCAGTTACCTCTGCTAGACTCAAAGAAATCGCCCCATTCATGTGCTCTCGCATTGAAGTCCCCACATACCAATACATTTCTGTACACTTCCAATGTACCAAAAAGTTTATTGATTGTTTCTTTGAACTCTCCCACGCTTAAGGAGGGCTCAAAGTAGACCGCACATATCACTAAGTTCCGTGGAAGGTTGCATGTTTGCACAATGCATATGTCGTGGCTTGAATCAAAAATAATCTTACGAAATTTGATGGATTTTCTTAAGCCGATGGCTACCCCACCATATCCATCATTTCTGTTTTTCTTGACCATATTAAAGTTTACAATGTTTTTCTTGAGATCATTTTCGTTCTGAGTAAAAGTTTCACTCAGGCAGAAAATGTCCACGTTATAGTTGTTTACATAATATTCAATATGGTTAATGTTTTTCCTAAGAGACTGACAGTTATGTTGTAGTATCTTCATATTGTTCAAGGGTAGAAAGTGGGTTACTTGTAATAAATTTGTGGTCTAGATCTAAGCAGAATTTCTTTAGTCTCTGATCAAAATGATCAAATGCAGTTACACCTGCCTGAAAGTCGATCCTTCTAAAGGCGTCACTTGCAAATTTTATCATCTCTGCAACTAATTTCTCCATTTCGGATACGATGTGTATGTTTTCTTTTCTTAATGCTACCCCATAGGCTTCAATTGACGCATTTTTCCGCTTGGCTTTAGCCTCCGCACTTTTTTCTTCATTTGCCTTAGTGACTTTATTTTTGGATGACTGGCTAGTCCTGTATTGCTTACGCCTAAGTATAGCTGCGTAGTTTCTTGGCGTTAAAATTCCGTTAACTTCCGCGTCCCTATCTTTTAAAGCATCTGAAGATTGACCCAAAGCGGGGAAATCTTCATCGTCTAGCAGCCTAAATCTATTCGATGCAAAAGGTGTATAAGTCTTTATTACCTCCCTCCTAGTTAGCTTTTTAATTGTCATAATCTTACTGATTCCCTCTTCCTTCTCCCACTTGGAGCATTTATTTTTTTCATTAGCCAAGTGATTGGTCTCCCCACACAGAATACATTTGGCATTACTGCACCCTTGTTCACAGCCCCCTTGGTTTCCACACTTTAAACATCGTTTGTTTGCCCTACAGGCTTTTCCTGTGTGCCCTAACCTGCCACAGTTAAAACACTGCCTTATGTAGGGGTAGAAGTACTCAACTTCGATAATAGTATGGTTAAGCTTGATTTCTTTGGGTAGGTTGTTTGAGGCAAAGCCAATTTTAACAGTATAGGTCGGAATTCTGTTTTCACTTTCACGACTCTCACGTCTCATAAATCTTTGTACTGAAGTAATTTTCACATCAGAGATTGCCTCATTTTTTATTTCCTCTTCTGTGATCTCCAGGGGTATGTCCCTAATCACCCCATAGGTTTCAATAAATGCTCTGGGGATAAAGGCCCTCATTTGCATTTCTTTTAACTTTTCATTTGCCAAAATCTCATTTGCCGATTTAATGCTTGTTATACCTAGCTTGTAGAGCGTGACCCCAATTGCTTTGATTGTGTCAATGTCTTCTAAACCCAAATCTTTAACCTTGCTCCACAGATATAACCCATTCCTTATTCTCGTGTTCCTAACTAACTCCGATTTAGATGTATCGATTAAGACGTATATTTCCCCCTTATGGTCGTGTGGATAAAAAATAGTTTCATTTTTATTATTTTGGCGCATTTCATCATGCCCCTTACTAATGTCATTTCCTACAGACAGGTTTTGCTTCCCGCCATTTGCTTTTGCCATTTTTTGATTTCCCTCTCCTACTTCTGTTTGTCTGCCTAATACCGTTTTATCCTGTACGTCATGTAAGTCATAGCTTTCATGTATGTTATATACATGAGCGTGATTTTCATTCCTAACCTCATGGTTAGAATTGTTGGTAGAACTGCCGGTTGCCGCCATACCACTCATACCACTATTCTTACTAAGCACATGGTCGTCAATTTGTTCCATGTAAGCCCAGCTCTGCATTTCAGCGTCACCTGCTACATGGCCACTGTTATTGAAAGGATTAGAGTTTGGTTTAATCTGACTCATTTGCACTTCCATTTGCCCAGGAATCCGCACGTCTTCCTCATTGTCTCTTCTTTTTTTTTTCCTGACTCTTGACCTTGACCTGGAGGATCCCTCCCGGTCAGACCCCGCCATGGTAGCAGATGACGCTGCCACGCCACGCCACACAACTATTCTCAGGTATTTTTTTTAATAAAAAAAACACACAACTCCACACACAATTTAAAAAAGGAAAAATATGATACTCACAAATTATCTATGTAGATAGCTCAACACCAAAGATCACTTTAGCACAGTAAATTATTTTTAGTATTTTTTCTCCAACTCACCAGCACAGAAAAAACCACCTTTTCCACTCGGACGTTGAATAAGAAGTGGGCGATATCCTTGTAGTTTTTTTTTTTTTTTTTTTTTTTTTTTTTTTTTTTTTTTTTTTTTTTTATTTTTTTTTTTTTTTTTTTTTTTTTTTTTTTTTTTTTTTTTTTTTTTTCTTTT